CCCCTAATGCTAATAAAAGCTTTTGCCAGTCATATATATCAGTATGCAAACTGGATAACCTTTTCCTGCTGCTTGCTTTGAAAACTTGTGTTAATTTTCTTACACTCAGCTCAGTTTCCCATAGTAAAAATACCACATCCATGCAAAGATGTTTGGAGGACAGCAGCAAAAGGTTATGAGGATGAATTAGCGTAGATGTCTTCAGACAGTGCAGTACACACAGTGGAGATGTGTCTTGAGACGTCTGACTCCATTGTTTCTAGCTAATTTATTAGAAAGTTTTTCATTCTGAGGATATAAGGCAGATTGACAAAACATACTTGATCATGAAATGCAACAAGTCTCATTGTTAACTGTTGCAGAGTTATTGCTGTTACTTTTAGAAAATATTAGAAATTTAAACATCTTGATAAAACAATAGATTCTCTTGAGCAATATCTCTGTGTTCAGAGAATAATAAATTTGTAAATTTACCTGCTTTGAATAAGGTTACCTGCATAATTTCTGGGAGGTGAGGAAGTTGGAATGAAGAAGTGAATCAACTCTAGATTACATTAAACATTACTACTAATGTTTTTAGTAGGAAGGATAATGTTTTTATCCTTCAAAGATTCACTTGTTTGCCATATATGTCACAAGGGAAAAATCTATTTAAGCTCCTACTGTCTGTTATTTGTTCAGAATTCCATGTTCATCTTATCCATAAGATGTATTTGCTCATTTCTGTTGAAATTTGAGGACAGTAAGCTGTTCACTCAACTAGTTACTGCAATAGTAAACAAGTAAATGAAGTTATGTTTGTTTATGTTTAAGTAGGATGTCTCCAAATATGTACATTCCTTATTTAAGAGTCCGCTGAAGCTAACTAGCTGAAGTAGGCTTTGTTCATTTTGGTTTGTGTATCGCATAATTAGTTATTTTATCAACTGAGTATATACTCAGAAGTGGTAACTGAAGTATAAATCAATCAGTGCCTACTGTCCACACAGTCTGTAGTGAAAGTTGTAAGTCATTCTCAATGCTGTCTCCAAGGACAAGGGAAGTGTGCTAGGTCTTCACCTCCCCACTGATGGAGTTTGTGAGGAGGATGCAGTCAGTCATTCTTTGTGTCAGCCTTTGTAAGAATAAACCTCTGAGTGTAGGCTGAGGTTCCCAAATGCAGGCTTGCTTGGGCGCAGAGCCAGGGTCATCACTGTCACAGCCACCTGCTAAGCTCCCCAGCTGGTGAGCTATGGGGTGGTGCCCTGTGTCCAAACAGCTCCTCATCTCATGGTGATGACTGCCGTTCATGTAAGTGCTTGTCAAGAGGCACTTGCCTCTCAGGAAACAAGGGTGTGGAAGTACTTTGAGATAAGTATCAGGAAATGCTCCTACAGAATACCTGGCAGGAGTTTGTCTACCATTTCTTGGAAATTCCTGCCTTGTCATATACAGTCAGGAAAAGCAATGCATTGTAAAACCTGCCATATATATTAACTATGTCTTTTAGTGCACTGACAGGCATCTGTACTGTACATGGGAGTGAAGCAAATCCCAGACTATTTCAATTTTCTGCAATTGTTTTAATTATTATTAGCAGTTTTGGAAGCGCGAGGATCCTTTGTTCTGTGAATAGATTTCCTGAATTTCACCTTACCTCAGGGGGGCTGAATTCTGTAATTGTTACACCACCAGGTTTCTTGAGACTTCTCCGAATATTGTGCTGAGGAGGGAAAATTGAAAAAAACTGCTCTCCTTAATAATTTTAAACACAATAAGCTATTCGGTTCTTGTAATGTCTGAACAGGATGAAATGGTGTGCTGCCTTGGGCTACTTTACTAAACCTAGTTACTTGGATAATATTAACAAAAATATGTTTCAAACATAACCTTTTATTTTCAGGTTGTGTCATGAAACCAGCAGTATATTTTCTGATTATATTGTACATTGTTGAAGATTATTTTAAGGTTTACATATCCAAATGTAAACACCTCAAGAAGTTTTTCTACTATCTTAGTTTCTCTACTTTACACCTATTATTCATATATAGTTAAGAACAATAGGGTATTCTTAGCAAACTTTGAGAGTGTGGACCAGTGGCAGTGGGAAGTGGGGTGGGGGAATAGACAGTATTGAGGTAACGAAATCTGTAACTTGTGGCGCAATATTTCCCTGACAGTGGGAGATACAATATGAATTCAGGTTGCTTTCTCTTTCAGTTTGGTAAGTTGCTACATTACAGTTTTTATAGGAGACTGCCTATGACTTACCTTTGGCTTCAGAATTGTTCTGGTTTAAACTCTTGTTGGCAAGTCAGACACACGATCTACTCCCCCCCCCCGCCTCTTTCTTCCCTTCCCCCCCTCCCCTGCTCCTGGAGGGATGGAGAGGAGAATCAAAAGAATGGAACTCCCACAGGTTGAGATAAGAAGAGTCCAGTAACTAAGGTATAACACAAACCACTGCTGCTACCACCAATAATAATAATAATGACAAGGGAAATAACAAGGGAAGAGAATACAACCGCTCACCACCTGCCGACCGATACCCAGCCTGACCTGAACAGAGATCTAGCTCTTCTGGGTAACTGACCCCAGTTTATATACTGGGCATGACGTGCTGTGGTATGGAATACCCCTTTGGCTAGTTTGGATCAGGTGTCCTGTCTCTGCTTCCTCTCAGCTTCCCCTCCTCCCTGGCAGAGCATGAGACCCAGAAAGTCCTTGGTCAGAGTAAACATCAGTGTTATCAGCTCTGTTCCCAGGACGAAAGTCAAAATCACAGCGTGGCACCAGCTACTAAGAAGGAGAAAAAATGACTGCTACTGCTAAACCCAGGACAAGAATAAATAGGGAAGAGAAATGTAGGGAACAAATATCAGGAGAACTGGCTACCCTGGATTTGGAGAAGGCTGAGGTTTTTAATGACTTCTTTGCCTCAGTCTTCACTGCAGATGCTCTGACCACACCACCCAAGTCTTAGAAGGCAGACGCAGGGACTGTGAGAATGAAGACCCTAGGCCCACTGTAGGAGAGGATCTGGTTCGAGACCATCTTAAGAACCTGAACGTGCACAAGTCCATGGGTCCTGATGAAATCCATCTGCGGGTCCTGAGGGTGCTGGTGAATGAAGTTGCTAAGCCACTGTCCATCATATTTGAGAAAACATGGCAGTCAGGTGAAGCTCCCGATAACTGGAAAAAGGGAATTAATTATAATCCCCATTTTCAAGAAGGGGAAAATGGATGATCCAAGGAACTACAGACCAGTCAGTCTTACCTCTGTGCCTGGCAAAATCTTGGAACAGATTCTCCTGGAAGGCATGCTAAGGCACATGAAAAACAACTAGGTGCTTGGTGACAGCCAGCATGGCTTCACTAAGGGGAATTCCTGCCTGACCAATTTGGTGGCCTTCTATGATGGGGCTACAGAAATGATGGACGGGGTAGAGCAGTTGATGTCATCTACCTGGACTTGTGCAAAGCGTTTGACACTGTCCCACATGACATCCTTGTCTCTAAATTGGAGAGACATCAATTTGATGGATGGACCACTCGGTGGATAAAGAACTGGCTGGATGGCCGCATGCAAAGAGTTGTGGTCAATGGCTCAATGTCCAGCTGGAGACCAGTAACGAGTGGTGTCCCTCAGGGATCAGTGTGGGACCAGTCTTGTTCAACATCTTTGTCGCTGACATGGACAGTGGGATTGAGTGCGCCCTCAGCAAGTTTGCCGATGACACCAAGCTGTGTGGTTCGGTTGATACGCTGGAGGGAAGGAATGCCATCCAGAGAGACCTTGACACGCTTGTGAGGTGGGCTGATGTCAACCTCATGAAGTTTAACCATGCCAAGTGCAAGGCCCTGCACCTGGGTCAGAGCAATCCCAGGCACAGCTACAGGTTGGGCAGAGAAGAGATTCAGAGCAGCCCTGCAGAGAAGGACCTGGGGGTGTTGGTCTATGAGAAACTTAACATGAGCCGGCTTCAGTGTGCACTTGCAGCCCAGAAAGCCAACTGTATCCTGGGCTGCATGAAGAGCAGCGTGACCAGCAGATGGAAGGAGCTGATCCGGCCCGTCTACTCTGCTCTTGTGAGACCTCCCGTGGAGTGTTGTGTGCAATTCTGGTGTCCTCAACATAAAAAGGACATGGAACTGTTGGAACAAGTCCAGAGAAGGGCCACGAGGATGATCAGGGGACTGGAGCACCTCCTGTATGAAGATAGGCTGAGAAAGTTGGGGCTGTTCAGCCTGGAGAAGAGAAGGCTGCGTGGAGACCTCATAGCAGCCTTCCAGTATCTGACGGGGGGCTATAGGGATGCTGGGGAGGGACTCTTCATTAGAGATCGTAGTGATAGGACAAGGGGTAATGGGTTAAAACTTAAACAGGGGAAGTTTAGGTTGGATATAAGGAGGAAATTCTTTCCTGTTAGGGTTGTGAGGCACTGGAATGGGTTGCCCAGGGGGGTTGTGAATGCTCCATCCCTGGCAGTGTTCAAGACCAGGTTGGACAAGGCCTTGGGTGCTATGATTTAGCGTAAGGTGTCCCTGCCCATGGAAGGGCGGTTGGAACTAGATGATCGTAAGGTTCTTTTCAACCCTAACTATGATTCTTTTAATAGTATATGGTTTTTTCATGTCTTGTACTTTCATGTTCTTTCAAATCTCAGGAGGAAGAAGTTTTAAAAATGTATCCAAATACACATTTGGCACTGGAATGGGTTGCCCAGGGAAGCTGTGAATGCTCCATCCCTGGCAGTGTTCAAGGCCAGGCTCGACAGAGCCTTGGGTGACATGGTTTAGTGTGAGGTGTCCCTGCCCATGGCAGGGGGTTGGAACTAGATGATCGTAAGGTCCTTTCCAACCCTAACTATTCTATGATACTATGAAAATCAATTCATATGTCAAATTTACGTAAGGAAATTCTGCATGCTTTTTATGTTTTTGCAATCCTGTCTCATTTACTAGTCTGAGCTAGAAAAGAATATGTGTTATTAACAACATCTAATTTTACCTTCACAGATAAATTTGAGCAGTTTTGGGCAATAAATCGAAAACTCATGGAGTATCCTCCAGAAGATAGTGGATTTCGATACATCCCATTTAGAATTTATCAGGTAGGAGAAAATGAAATAAAACCACTATTACCAAAGCTTCCCACTGACGTGTCATATATCATAATCTCTTTTCAGAATTATATGTTCCCTTTTCTAACATTATGCTATGACTTTACATGCTCATCATTGCTGGATCTTTGAGTTGCATAAATTAGCAAATTAGTTTTATATGTGGACTGTATTTGTAATAATATAGATAATTACCATTTGTAACTGTGTAATACTTACGAATGTACTAAGGCTGATATAGATTATGTTTGGGGCTTTGTTTTTAAAAAGCTAATTCTATCGTTAGAAATAACTGCTAACTATGAAGACTGCTTTGGGTGCAGAATGCCCTCTGAAAGGTCTAAGATATTTCAGGAGTGGCACTTTTCCCTCAACCACTGTATAGGCTTCTTTTCTTGTTAGCCTTATAAGGTGAAAGTAATGGCATAGGCCTTGCATGTAGTTCTTATATTTGTCTTGTAGTTGTATATTATACAATCCAAAACTGGATTTGAATATTTTTTGTATTAATTTGCCAGTGCACCTATTTTTCTCAGTGGTTTACTTGGAGACTTATTCCTTGGAATCCTTCACAATTTTTTTATATCCCCTTAGTTTTTTATAGCGTTGAGGTCAAAATGAAGTTTGGAATTATGTATGGTTAAAAGTTTATATAGAGTTAATGAAGCCTCTCTGCAAATGAAACAGTTCTGCTCTGTTCTGTCTTCAAAACATTTTCATCTATTTATGTTTAAGTTTTGCACCTGTAGCTATCAAAAATCCTTTATTCGTAGTACTGAGTAGTCTGATACTACTTTTGGAACAGGCTTTAATGACCATGCAAAGCTATACAATCTTCCAGTGAGACTGAAGTAACTTTTAGTGTTAGATTTAAGACATTTACTGTCATAGTGAAACCTTAGATTGAGAACGGAAGTCAGTTATTTTGTTAGAGATCATAGCAGATGGCAAGGTTTTTATAAGCATCAAAAAATATGTATCAGGAAAAGTAGTTCACTCACAGCATTTTGTTTGTTTGGTAACTAAGTTGTTTTTTTTGTTTGCTGATAGGCTTGGGGGTGGTTTTGTTTGTTTTTGCTTTGTTAGGGGTTTTTTTGAAGTCTTTTCAAAAAAATCAGGTAAATGGGTTTGTAAAAATGGAGGTTTTCCTCTCTTGAATAAGGTACAGACCTTTAAGCCGTGAGGGAAATTTTGTATATCACATGATTTCAAGCTAGTAAGGCTTTCTTTTTTTTTTTTGAATAGAAAAAAAAGAGAGAGAAAAAAAGTAATTCAGTAAAAAAAGGCAATTCTGTAATATATATTCCTTCAGCCAGTAGTATTTATTTTCATTCTCAATATCTTTTCAACTGGGAACCCTTACTTGCTATAGTTTAAGCCAAAAATGTCTAACTAAGAATGAAAGACCAGGCATAAAGAAAGATGATGCTGAGACAGCCTTTGAGAAGGTTGGTGTGTATTATTTTCAGTAATGCTTCTCTTAATATTTCTAAATGTTCCTCTTTTTTAAAAAAGTGGATGCAGGTGTGTCTTGCTTTTTTTGCTTGGTTTGGTCTGTGTACTGGTTACTGCTCATCATAAAAGTCTGTGTGTTTAAAGGAATTTTCAGAAAGCATTAGGAAGGGTGAGATTATAATTTAATTCCATGCAAGGAATTGATTCCTGTAATTTTAACATAATCCTACAGTACTTGGTGAGACTTGCATATGCTGAAGTAACCACCTCAAAAGTGTTCTTAAGGTGTATTTACCCCGCACCGTGACTGGATTAAATTTCTATTAGTGCTGGTAGAAGTCAGCTATGCATTCTAGTTAGTTGCTTGCATGTCCTTACATAAGTACCTGAAAGCCAATTTAGCCTGGGTTTGTGTTACAGTGGATGTTTATTCCCCATGTGTTTTTGTAGATACTTAAGGATATGCAGGTGGATGGCAGGAAATATTAGGCATTGTCTTCAGTGGAGAAGAGTTCCTCCTCTTAGTCTCTATACCTTCCATTACCCCCAAATTATTAGAAGGAAATTCTGTGAAAGGAACTGCTTAGTTTATGTTTGCACAGTATGAGGTGGATGAATTTGTTTTCCTTCAGAGAAAGGTACTAGATTATGATATTGACTAAGAAAAATCAGCTTTAGCAATTACTAAATGTATCTGGAGAAGTTGCTGCAGGAAAAAGTGTATGCAATAAAGTGACCAGATGTGCTTTTCACTGAAGGCTTGATATTTTCAAAATTCAAAATACTCTTTCAGTTGTAAAGCTTTTCTATTGAAATACATTTCTAAAGAATAATATGAATCATACCTTGTGTGGTATCCAAATCTGATGGTATGTGTGGGACAAAAAGATGGCAAAAATACAAATGTTATACTTGGGTAAGTCAGAGCTAAACTAACCACAGGTAATTGTGAAAGCCCTTGTCCAGCACCTCTCCTTTTAAGTGTAGCAGTCAAGATTGGACCAGAATCCAGGCATCTACTGTAGAAGATGAAGTAAAAGACTGAGTATTGCTAAGGATCAACTCATTTGCAATTTTAAAAGTTGGCTGAGAGATCTTGGAGATTTTATTACCAGCTGTCATAGTCTGAGCTGTGTCATTATGGAGCTTGCACACATGAACCTTTGACAGAGGTTGGAAGCTTTTTTCTACCAGAGATGGTTTAAAAATAGTAAATTTTTTTGTTTTTGACACTTTTGCTTACATGTGTCCAGAAAAAAAAAAAAGGTTCTCCATGTCACTACTTGAGAAGTATAACCTGCTATGTCTTCAGTTGACAGGTGCATGAAAACTTTCTTGCTTTTTTATCTAATAGTACCATTGAATAGAGTGCTTTTTTTCACTTGTTCTTTAATAGCAAGAGAGAAAATAATAATAATTGTTTTGCCTATGTTACTCATTAAAAAGCATTGCTTTTCTTGTACAGTACTGGAGGTAGTTTGGCTTGAGGACTTTTTCCCCATGTTCATAAGACCAGCTGGTTTTGCACTTTCTAATTGAGCAAAATATACAGCTGGTAGATGGCAGGAAGTTTTCATCAGTCTTTGGCTCCAGGCACTGTGACAGGGCCTATTAGTCAGACACTGGAGAGGAGTCTCTACATGCTGATAGAGATTACCCTGATGAACCACTCTGAGTCTGATTTGTTGTACACTTAGTTTGCACTCATCCATTGGTTTTGGTATCTTGCTCTTGCCCTGTGTCATGCTTACCCACTTGCTCTTGCTTGTTCTTGTCAATCTTCCTCCTTTCCTCTGAAATCTGCCCTATGAGTATATTGTATTTCCAGTTGTAAGTAGCATTTCATTCTTGAGGATAAAATAACAAAAGTAGGTGAAAGAAAACATATTAAAACTATTCTTTACATGTTTTTATGTGCTTTTCTAGAGTTGCACTTGGCTTAAGGCAGGCTGGCTGTTGTTTGCTTGCCAACCCCAAAAGGGATGGTCTGGAATTATTTGTTTGCTTGTTTCTTTACTTGGGTACTAGGAGATGCCACTAGAACGTGGTACTGGAATGAGCATTTCCTTTGCCTCTATTTTCTAAGGGTTTTGATTAGGTTATTAGTTTTATTGTCTAATTACATAATAGGCCCTAGCTTTGAACAGGTTTTACCTATCATAAGTCCCTTAAGATCCTGTGATTAAATTGTGCAGTTACAAATTGTTAGGATGTTTATCTGCTTTAGCTATGTGAGTAAAATTCCCCATACTTAATAATACCTGGATTAAATCTAACACTTTGTTCTTTCTGTCAAGGTTGCAGTACCAAGATGTCTAAATAGATTTAAATGTCCACCATGACCTGCACTCTAAAAATAGCAGGCCAGGAGGAGGAAATGAAATATTCTAAGGCAGTATTAATATCTGGCTCAATAAATGAATCAGAAGCCTGAGCATGACCCTTCCTGAAGCAATGGAAGACTGGTTTAGTCGTATTGCCACATTAATTGGCAGAGCTCAGATAATTAATTGCAAAACCCATGTATGCAGAGTATGCAAATCAGCATCACAATTTGATCCATATTATGACAGTTGACCAAAACAGATTGTTTGGAAAGATACTGGGTCCACTTGTAAAGTTTTCAAGTAACAATGAATCCACCCTTTATGCTAGTGGGTTATTAAAATCTTTTTGTTGTTTTTGGGGTGAAAAGCCTCCATTGCATTTTAAGGCTGAATTTGTCTGACTTACTCCAATTTCTAGATTTTGTTTTGCCTTATACCGCTTTAAAGTTTTCTGACTTTCTAACCTTCCAACTTCACTTACGTAAGAGTAATTTCAGCAGCTTCAGTTTTCTTCAGTAAGCTGAATCAATTAAGCTCTTTAAGCCTCTTGCCATGAGGCTTGCTTACCAGTACTGAAGTTGATTTTTTAGTCATCTTTTCAAACACTAGCTGATATTTTGATAATCCTCAAAATTAGTATTAGAAAGATGTAGAGGTTAAAAGTAAAGTTTATTTCTATAGAATTTTAGATCAAAAATACCTTAAACATAAAGATAAAGGCTAGAGGTAAAGTTAACTGCTACTTGAAACTGCATATCTGATTTTTTTATGAAAGAAGTTGAGATGCAATGGTTCGTTGAGTAGAAGAATTAAAAGATTTAAGTGCTGTCAACCGGAAGAGGGCAACACAACACAGCAAGTTTCAGCATCTTGTTGCCTAGTGCAGAATACTCTTGAATAGACCTGTGTCTATTACCATATTTAACTTTTTTCTTATTTATTAAAAATGACATTTTCATAAAGGATCTGCTGAAAATAGATGAGTTTATTTCTTAAAAACCTCCTTTTACAAAGAAGAAGTTTGAGTGAATAGGAAAACAATGTGAAATGGTGGTTGGTTTGTGTAACAGAGCTGTGCTCAGCTGCATTTCTGTCCTGAACAGAAAAAAAAAAGGACTTTGATTCATCATCTAATACACAGAATGACTTATTCTAATAACTGATGGCTCAGAACTGAAGAAGCACCAGCACATGTTCACCAGCTTTAAA